TGAGTCAAACCACGTCAAGTGGGACCAGAAAATTTCACGAAATCACCGATTTTGAAAATAATCACATTATTGTGTAGTAGGCATGACTCATATGTCACAGTAAAAAAATTGTTTTAAAATTCGTTTTTTTGGTAATGTTATTAAGGTTGACAATTTTGTCAAAAACTAGAGCACGGTAAAATTGAAAAAATAGAATATCTGGAACCACTATGTATAATTGAATTAAATTTTACGCACTATTGTAGAAATGTTTAGACTATATAATGATCATTTAATTAAGGTTAATTTGTTTAAATAAAATAATTTTGCATACATTTATTATAAACAATTGAAATTTTGTATGTGTTCTTCACGCTGAAAAAAAATTAATCTTGTGTCATAATATGCGGCAAACGTTTCCGTTTAATAAGATGTACTCAAAAATTTGTCTTTCCTATGTCAATCCGGAGATATTAATTTTTTTGTCCCGCTATGCGCTTGATCAGTACGCGGCGCGCTTCGTTTCTAGCTCGTCTGTTCTAACGTTTTAACGGTGTGCCAAAAACTGATTGTAGTTTCTTGTTCGGGACCCTTTGGTGACTTAAAAATGATATTTACCAAAGTTCTAGCTGCTACTCTTTTCAAAATTGTTCGAAAATTCATGATTTTTTTTTTTAAATTTTTGTTTATCTCTTTGACAGAGTACACATTTGCACACCGATTTTTATAAAATTAGAGTAAATTATTTAGGAGACTTAGAGAATACTTTTTAATATTGTTCACATCATTTGATATATTCAGGGTTAGCAAAAAATCACTTATTTTTAATAATGCAAAAGCGTAAATTCATGATTACTTATAGCATAACACGCGAAAAATATTTATCCCCAATTTTTTTTTAGATATTTCTACGTCTATCAGGTTACAAAATTGCATTTTTATTAACATTTTACAAGAAAAATAGATTTGTAATAAAATTTAATAAAATAACGCTTAGAGAGTATTTAAAATGTTGTTTAATTTAGGCTTTTAAGTAGTTTTCAATTTTGAAAAAAAATTGGTTGAAGTTTTTTGATCGGCACTCTTTGGTGATTTAAAAAAGATATTTACCAAAATTCTAACTGTTTTTTGTTTAAATTTGTAAAAAATTCATTTTTTTTAATTATTTGTTTATCGCAAAGTCTACCTTTGCCAGAGTACACATTTGTACACCGATATTGTAAACGAGAGAAACGGTTTTTATACTGAGCACATCATTAGATTTATACAGGGTTAGACAAAAATCACTTTTTTATATAGTAAAACGCATAATGCATAAAAAAGATTTTTCAAAATGTTTCGAAAAGGGGAGCAGCTAGGATTTTGGTAAATATTATTTTTAAGTCACCAAAGAGTCCCGAACAAGAAACTGCGGAATTTTTATGCGACTTAAACTTCGTTCAGGCACACCGTGTCCTGACGAGCTAGCAGCGAAGCGCGTCGCGTACTGATCAAGCGCACAGCGGGACAAAAAATTTAATATCTTCAAAATGACATATGAAGGACAAATTTTTGAGTACATTTTATTAAACGGGAACGTTTGCCGCATATTATGACACAAGATTAATTTTTTTTCAGCGTGAAGAACACATACAAAATTTCAATTGTTTATAATAAATGTATGCAAAATTATTTTATTTAAACAAATTAACCTTAATTAAATGATCATTATATAGTCTAAACATTTCTACAATAGTGTGTAAAATTTAATTCAATTATACATAGTGGTCCCAGAGATTCTATTTTTTCAATTTTACCGTGCTCTAAAGTTTGACAAAATTGTCAACCTTAATAACATTACCAAAAAAACGAATTTTAAAACAATTTTTTTACTGTGATATATGAGTCATGCCTACTACACAATAATGTGATTATTTTCAAAATCGGTGATTTCGTGAAATTTTCTGGTCCCACTTGACGTGGTTTGACTCAATATGACAAACTTATTGATAGAAAATGCAGAAACTTTTTGTATGTTGTACCTTTAATTTGGTTATCCATTAAGCATAAATATTTTCAACTTCTTTTGAGTAGTTATTTTCCTTTATTTTAATAATAATCAGAGCTGTCACAAGTCACTTCTAAAAAGACTTAAGTCATAAGTCGTAAGTCTTTTTTGAAATAAAAATGACTTAAGTCTTAAGTCATTTTTTCCATAAAACAGAAAAGATTTAAGTCTTAAGCCTTTCAAAAAGACTTAAGTCTTTTTTTTAAGCCTTAAGTCTTATTAAAAATGACTTAAATCAAATATATAACGACTTAAATCTAGAAAAAGACTTAAGTCATTTTTAGGGACTTAAGTCCCTAAAAATACTTAAGTCGTTTTTAGATTTAAGTCGTTTTATCGGTTTAAGTCGAAAAAAAAAGATTTAAGTCGAAAAAAAAAAAAAGATTTAAGTAAAAGAAAACAAATACCTTACTCATTTTGAGAGATTCAAAACAAGATCAAAGATTTAAGTCGAAAAAAAAAAAGATTTAAGTAAAAGAAAACAAATACCTTACTCATTTTGAGAGATTCAAAACAAGATCAAAGAGTATATATCTAATAGATACTCTTTGACAAGACTTTTAATGAAATTTATTTTTAAAATAGGTGCATAACAAAAAGTTGATCACTTAATTAGTCAATTATTGTATTGTATATAATAATGTACTGGCACACAGTGTTGAAAATGCCCAAAAAGCTGGCCAAAACCTATAAAATCTACATTAATATATTTGAGTAAATTTAATTTTTTTTCATTAGTAAACTAATAAAGGTATGTTAAAAACATTATGTTTTTAACCAGTTATGAAACTTAAGAAATTTGTTATATGTTTTAAACATATAACAAATTTCTTAAGTTTCATAACTGATTTAGTAGAGAAGGTCAAATTTGAACTTTCTTGAAGTGATTTTTTCCATTTCAAGTAACCAGTAAAAAAGGTACTTTTTCAAATATTAATATTAAATATTTTTTTAATTATCATTAAAGTATATGCTATTTTTAAATGAATTACTTATTTTTGGTGGATAAAACGATTTTTTAGTGAAAACATATTATATATTAAATCATTATTTTGACTTAAGTCATTTTAAAAAGATTTAAATCATTTTTAGACTTAAGTCATTTTAAAAAGATTTAAATCATTTTTAGACTTAAGTCATTTTAAAAAGACTTAAGTAATTTTTTTGTTTTAAGTCATTTTAAAAAGACTTAAGTCCTTACGCAAATGTAGAAAAAGCTTAATAATACAAATCATTTTGAAAATGACTTAAGTCTTAAGTCTCAAGTCGTCCAAAGAAAAAGAGACTTAAATCAAATGACTTAAGTCACAAAAATGACTTAAGTTAAAAAAAGACTTAAGCTTTCTGCTGTCTGACAGCTCTGATAATAATAAATATCGGGAAAGTTTTGTAATTCATACCAAATTAATACACATAAGCAACATTTTTGTTGTGTATTGTAAAATATCTTTCTTAATATTAACTTTAGGTATAGGGAATAGTTATATCAATGAAAAGGTATTATAATTTCATATTTAATTATGTAAAAATATACAGGGCGTTCCATTGAGAATAAAAAAGTTATTGCTGTTTTAAGTTAGCTACATTCACATTGTTTTTTTACAAGTATCTTTTTAGAAATATTACAATAATTTACATGGAATCTTTAAAACAGTGCTTTAGGATTTCAATAAATCCAACCGAATATCAACAAACCTTATATTAAAAAAGTTATAAGCTTTTTTTGTTGTGGGTGAAACTGACCAAATTTTACAAGAAAAATTAATAACTCAAAAAGTATTAAGTTTAGGTATAGGACATGATATAGCCATTTTATAAGGAATGATGGTAAGATTTTGAAATTGTAAAAAAAAAATGTGGTGATCCATTTAAAATAACAAAGTTGATATCGCTTCCGTTAAAACCGGAAAAGGAATTTTGTTCAAAATAATTTAGAAAAATAGTTTAAATGATATTATAATTGCTATAAAAATTTCAATTTCATATCTTTTGTCGTTCTCCATAAACGTCTAACCTACCATCGACCGTGATACACCCTGTATATATATATATATATATATATATATATATATGTATATATATATGTATATATGTATATATATATATATATATATATATATATATATATATATATATATATCAAGACTACAAAATAAAGATAATGGAAATAGCAAAGAAATATAAGTAAAGATAGAAGAAAAAGAAATGAAGAAAATCCCTTAGAAAACTTAAAAATAAAGACAAGACAATTGAATAAGTAAGAAAACACACACCTGAAGAAGAACCGTTCTGCATGACTCGATCTAGTTGCAGTAGTATGCAACTGTAGAACTGGCGTGGTCATAGGCGCCAGTAAATCCATGCATGTGTAAACCCGTCATTCAACCATATTAAGCAATCGTACTCTGTTATTTCAAAATGTAGTTTTTAGAGAAGCAAACGTTTATTTCTTCTCAACAAAGAAATAAAAAGTTGTCGTGGGACACTGTATAATAAAAAAATATTTAATTATATTCTTTGCTAAAACTAAATTAATATTTATGTTTAATTTTAAAAATGAAAATTTTTCCATTATTAAAAAACAAAGCAGGCATTATATCGCATGTCCTTTATCAATTAAATTTAAAAGCAGTCGCATTTAGTTAAACAATTAAATAATTTGAATTTAAATTCATTTTAATAACTATGTTAAAGCTAATTATTACGTATAAACAGGTATTATAATTAGATCTATATCCGGTATATTATCATTTAAATCATTGGTAATTGTTATGAGATTCTCACAGAATGAAACTTTTACACACTATTATTATAGTTTTTTATTAATGGCTTAATAGGTAAAAAAACTTTAACGGATGGAACTAAAATTGTTGTAATTTTTATAAATATTTCATTGCCCGTAATTTTAAGATTATATCGTTGAATCCAAATAATTGCTTCTTATTTTTAATATTTATTTTCATGGTTGTTTCAGGAACACTGGTTATATTCCGAGCAATTACGTAAAAGAAAAAGAGTTATTAGGATTACAGCAGTATGAGTAAGTTGTAATCTTCTTCTTTTTGGTTTCTTTATTTTATTTCCATTCTTTTCAAGATGGTATGTTAATGATATGTCGAGGCAAAGATCAGAATCTCTGCTCAAGCAAGAAGATAAGGAAGGGTGCTTTGTTGTCAGAAATTCTTCCACAAAGGGATTATACACTCTTTCATTGTACACAAAAGTGTAAGTCATTTATCATAAACATCTTATTTTTATCTAATGGGGACACCTCCTTATGTTTCAGTCAACAGCCACATGTGAAACACTATCACATCAAACAAAATTCAAGAGGAGAATTTTTCCTCTCTGAAAAACATTGTTGTATCTCCATTCCAGACCTAATAAATTACCATAAGCACAATAGTGGAGGACTGGCCTCCAGACTGAAAACAACACCCTGTGATAGAGCTGCTCCTGCAACAGCTGGCCTTAGCCACGGTATGATAATGCAAACTTTAAATAAAAATATCGTTTTTTTATAATTTGTTTTTTTTGTAGATAAATGGGAGATAGATCACAATGAGCTCATGTTAAATGAAGAATTGGGGTCTGGCCAGTTTGGTGTTGTAAGAAAAGGGAAATGGAGAGGGTCCATTGAAGTAGCTGTGAAAATGATGAAGGAGGGAACTATGTCTGAGGATGATTTTATAGAGGAAGCCAAAGTTATGACGTGAGTTTTATACACTTTAAGAAGTAATTAAAATAGTTTTTATAAAACTAACTAGCAATATTGTTTAGTAAAAAATTTTAAATTTAAATGTTAAATGTAAATATATGAAACATATACATAATAATGTATATGTTTCATATATAGGGTGTTTCAATAAGGCATCATACTAATCGTAAAATAATGATATTTTTTTGTAAATTTTGATAATTTTCCTAATTTAAATTCCACTGGGATAAACTTTGACATATATTCGTCGAAGGTAAAATTTTGAGGAGTTTATCTTATGATTCTTTAAATAATGAACTGGGCATTTACGTAATTTTTTAGGTGTGGTCCAAAAATTTCCTGTACATTTTTACTTTGTTGCTCATTCAAAAGGGGTTTCAATGCATTCCTTAACCCTGAATTTACACACTGTCCAAATTACCCCTTCCGCTGCGATCTTAAATTAGTTTTTTTTAATCAATCGCATCTTGCGTTCTATTTGTCGCACAGCAAACGTATCATGATAGTTACATTCGTCACGGTTTACTTTTTAATTGGGTTTATTATAATTTAAACCCTCCAATGTACTGGAAAAAGTTTTTAGCGTCCCAAAGTTGAAAGTACTCTGCGCGTAGTTATTTTTCAGGGCATCTGAACTAGAACTAGACATAATTTCCAGTATTTAAAACAATGATTTTGATTGGTTGATTTTTTGCCAGCCAATCCACGCTCGATATTGCGCTGTTTATTACCCTAGTTTTAAGTCTCTCTGTAACCCAAATTAAGCACTTGCTTGCATCCGATTAAGTTAACGTTTGGCATACCGATGTAACTTTGACAATGTAATAATATGGTACCGTGGTAATAGTATAATTTTTAGATCAATTATTAATTGCACTGGAGTAGTACATCAGTAAAAACTCCAAATTCATTCACGACACACATGTTTGTGTATCGTGAATTTACCCATTTTATTATTATGCGCAATTACCCCTTTAAATTTCATGTAGGTATATAAATTTATTTAATTTTTCAGAAAATTGCAACATACAAATCTAGTTCAGTTGTATGGAGTGTGTAGTAAAAAAAGACCAATTTTTATTGTAACTGAATACATGAAATATGGGTCTCTTCTTAACCATTTGAGGAGATATGAAACAACATTATGCAATAATAGAGGACTATTGCTTGATATGTGCATACAAGTAAGTCAGAAAAAATATAAACAATATTATTAATAAATGTCTATTGATTATAATAAATACAATCAAAGGCTATAGTTTAGCTAATACAGTGTAGTTCACTCCTCTTTCTAGCTCATTTCTTTCCAAATAATTATATACATATCTTCCTTCCAAAAAACTTATTTAAATTTTATATTTTAATAGGTACAACAAATTGTGTCAAACATTTTTTTAAAACAGTTTTCTTAAAAAAATAACATGTTGCTACAATAAAAATGAAACATACTTTTTGAATGAAAAAATTATAAAATTTTATCACCAAAAAAAGACTGACTTTTATTTTCGTTTTGTTTATAAGAATTCTGTAACAGTTTAAACTATTACAAAAAAAGTTGTCAAAGTGGACAAAATGAGAATAACAGGTGTTTATTTTATATGTTTATTTTATATTTTACATAATTTTTTTTCAAAATCAAAGTTGAGAATTAATGTAGTACAGTGTAACTAACAAATTTTTCATAATATACTAATTTATTTAGGTTTGTAAAGGAATGGCTTATCTGGAAAGGCACAACTACATTCATCGAGATCTGGCCGCAAGGAACTGTTTGGTTGGCACGGAAAACATAGTCAAAGTTGCCGATTTTGGATTGGCGCGCTACGTTTTGGACGATCAGTACACATCGTCTGGGGGATCTAAATTCCCCATAAAGTGGGCTCCCCCCGAAGTGCTTAACTATACCAGGTTCTCCTCAAAATCCGACATTTGGGCGTATGGTGAGCTTATAATATATTAAGTTGATTTTTTGGTTGTAATTTAGGTTATTTTAGGTGTTTTGATGTGGGAAGTGTTCTCTTGTGGCAAAATGCCCTATGGAAGGCTTAAGAACACCGAAGTCGTTGAAAGGGTTCAAAAGGGTTTGATTTTGGAACAACCAAAGGCTTGTTATAAAGAGGTTTATGATGTAAGTATTGATAAATAGGTATGTTAGTATTAAAAATAAGGTTCCTATTCATAATCATTTTAATATTATAAATAATAAACTGCATATTTTTTCATAAATTAATTTAAGCTCGCTCTTTAATAATCTGAAATCAGAAATAATTTTTGTTGAATATTTTGCACATAACAACGCGTTTAACATTCTCGGCACACGGTCGCTCTTGGAACAGTAGTCATCTCTGTTCTGACAACATTTATAGTTTGCTTCTCAATTTAGTCGTATCCCTGCTTAATATACCCCATAGAGACCCTGTTCAAACCGATAGATATTTGTATCGGGATGTATGGTGTTTCTATAGGGTGTATCGGTTTGTATAGGACCCATAGTTGAGATTTATGGTTGTTCTATAGGGATATCCACCATTGATTTATTTGCTATCGGTTTCAATGGGGAAAATACACATAAATGTAGAAATTAGTTTTTTCCCTATAGGACCCCATAGGTTTTAATAAAATTTTGTCAAATGTTTTATGGTTGCTCTATAGGGATATCCCTATATATCCTTCATTGAGTTATTTTCTATCGGTCTCAATAGGGAAAATGTAAAAGTTATGGTGTGTCTATAGGTAATTTCCTATACATTTTCTATCGGGCTGTATCCGGAAAAAACCATGGACAAATGCACATATTGAATCCGGTAGCGCCTGATAGATTATTTTGTATAGGTCTCTATGGGGTATTTTAAGCAGGGATGGTAAGGTTGCTATACATGCAGTAAAGATTCGGGTTAGCACAGTAATCCGTACGGTCTCAAATAGCGATTGATAAACCGTAGGTAAGCATAACAGTTACTGTGCCCACAGCGACAATTGCGGTACAGTTCGCTTTATTAATGTGAACCGCAATTATTGCACTGACGCGTCTCGACGTCTAGTATTTTAGGCTGTAAAGAACCGTAAATGAAATGCTTTCAATTATCTGACTTTTAATTATAAATTTGCGGAAAACTTTGTTTCTTGAAAGTTACCCCAGAAAATGTTTAAATGAACGTAGCAGTGAATTTTACTCACTTTCATCTATTTTTCTGTCTTTATACCTGCATAATTATTATTGTATAGAGCCCATATTAGCCTGCAATTCCACTTGCAATATGCACCAATACCAATCCACACTTTAAAGTTATATGTGTGTTGTTTTTTTCTAAATTCTATTACATAATAATATGTAGAAATGGGAAAATTCCCGGAAAATTTTCATCGAAAATAATTTTTTGTGCCAGGAGGATTGCAAAAATAAATAATATTGGCTACCTATATAGGAATATTAAAAAGTAAAAGATACTAAAAATAGTATTGCAGTTCTGACCAATAAAATATGAAAAAAAAAACTACAGGCAAAATAAAATCAACATTTTTGAGTCTATCGTTTTTAAAAATACAGGCTCTGAAGTTGCTACAATTATATTTATTAGTGCCACACCATTGACATCTGTCCAACCATCTTTAACTTCTTTTTGGATTCTAGCATATTCAGAGTTATCTAGTTTGTTAAAAAATAGTACATCAGGGTTTTCAACTAAACTAAACGGGCAAGAACTAGACTAAATTGCTCAAGCAAATAGTTATTCCGATTTATTCTGTTCGTTAAGAGACATGTTATCAACAAATTCTTTTATGTTTCCACTACTGGTATTGCTACCTGGTGGACTATCTCCTTGACTTTCAGTAGACTTACAATTTTGCATAGATAATCTTATAATATAAGATATTATATTTTGGGACCTGAAGACACTTTTTTATATGTTTGACCATTTTGATTGCATTAACGACATATATTTTTTACAGAACTTGCATTGAGCATGAACTTTTTTTTGCACTATTTTTTAATAATTCCAAATATAAGATTTTTCGAGGGGTAAACTACTTTAAAATCTTAGAGACCAACGTTCAATGTTAGTGGACGTTGTGTTGTGATTTTTTTCCTTATCAGTCGTTATGAATAAGGAAAACTTGCTTAATCAGTGCTTAGCGACGCGTTCGTTAATTCGTAAGCGATTTTTAATTATTAAAAAAGGGGTAACCCTCGAGATTCTTCTTTTAGCATTGTACTTTTAAAGTTAAAATTAAATTACCTATAAATAAACAACTAAAACGATAGAATGATTTTAACTTTGTTTATTGTTTTTATTTTGTTTACCTTTTAAAAGGCTTTTATCAAAGGGTTTCTTGCAAATGATTTATGAATTGTGATGATGAGATTTTCAACAAACTAATCAAAGAACACAAATAATACTATACTTAATCTTCTTCTTTAAATTAATACAAATTAACTTCTTATTCATTTTTTTTGGCCTTAACTTCGCAAATCAGCTGTTAAACAATTTACATTCACATACAAAAACAGAGAAAGATTTCAAGGAAAGTTTCCAGGGATGTTTCCGGTAACTTTAAAAGAAACTTTCAAAATGAAAAACTTTCCCTGAAATGAAAACTTTCCGATTCCCATCTCTAATAATATGTTGTATTATATTTTGGTGTGGCAAGTTCAATTTCCACTTTATTTCATTTTATAAAATTTTATATTTTTCTTTGGTTCATGCAAGTTGCAATTGCAAAGTGTATTAAAGTCAGAGACATAGAGGGGGGAGAAGGAGCTTGGACCATTGCGCATCCAATTTTATGGCGACAGGCTCATGGCTGACATTTTGAACTAGATGTCGATAATATAGACTTCTCTATCTTTGATTGGCAAGCTTAATAAAAAATAAACAGATGACGCCACTGTCGCTTGTTATTAGTTTTATAAGCAGTGTTGCCGTTCGCGGTTATTTTACCCGAGAATCGAATTACATAATTATTATTATTCTATTCTGTTACCATTCTTCTTGATTAATACAAAATTAAATTTATTTGTCAAAATAGGGCCAATGCGCTAAAAATTTATAACTATAACTATTTTTTTACTCTTGTGAGTATAATAGGGTATTTTTTAATTTTTGGTCGTGAACATTCATGACAACACTGTTTATAAGTACATAACCACATTGTTTTTAGAGGTTTAAAGGTCTAAAAAGAACCACCTGATCTGTGAATAATAAGTTCTATCTGATTTCTACACCGATATCTTTGGTTTAGTTGAATTTTTGTATACTTGTAATTTGGTTGTGTTTTTATATTGTGAGAATTTATGTAATTTATATAATATAAAATATCTTGGGCTGTTAAAACGTGCAGAAACACCAACATTTTTGACCGCGCCTCGTATACGTGGTTCAAAATGGCGGCTATGAGTGTGTCCCCATTTGCGCACGTTAAAGCTCATTCTCCCCCCTCTATATCTCTGATTAAAGTCCGCAATGAAATTTCATTTTATAAAAATTTTTATTTTCTTTGGTCCATGCAAGTTGCAATTGCAAAGTGTATTAAAGTCCGCAAATGAAATTTGCATGCCAGAAAAAATGCAGGCTGTAATACGAGCTTCATGAAAATTATCTATATTAATGACAAATTCCTTTTAAGTAATAAAAATATTTATTTTAGAAAATTTGCATTACACGTTAACGATATATTAAAATCATAAGACAAAGTCATTGTTATTGGAATGTCGTAATTATTCGTAGGACCCAGTGAAAAAAATCCACGTAGTAATTTTACGTGGAATTACCGCGTGCTAATTTCTGTCAACGGTAATGCGATCTGTCATAACAGCGATCACCGCAGTTCTAATGGCGGGTTTACGAGTCACTCGCGTGCGTTTGGAGGTCGCGTTTACGCGAGCTAGCCAACGCGCGCGACTGATTTAACTCATGGTGGCAATGGGATCGTTTATAAGTGACCTCGCGTGCGTTAAAAGGACGCGTGCGCCAAATCTCAGCCAGTTTGACGCGTCTTGGTTTTTATCCGGGGAAAAAACTTTACGCCGTAAAAATATCGCGCGCGTTGAAGCCGATATCACGTGACATGGCCAGCCAATGGCATCAGCCGTAAAATTAGCAGACGAGCTAAATTCATTAATATTGCGGTTCGGCGAATTAAAAATGGGTCCATTTTCCCAAAGTATGAGACATCAGACAGCAAACGCGCGCCTTTGAAACTCGTAAATGGGGTCGCGTCAGGAAGAACGCGTTGACGCGAAGGCCCAGGAAACGCACGCAAACCTCAAACGCACGCGAGTGACTCGTAAACCCGCCATAAACCCCAAAGATCGCTGTCCGCACAGTAATGTTTACGGTTTCTCGTTCGCTTTCGGAGACCGAACGGATTACTGTGCAAAGAGTAGCAACCTTAGCTGTTAGCTACACTTTTTTGTCCAGTGCAGTATTTTATTGTCTGTGTAACATTGTGTCTAATAGCGCGCTAGCCTGTTCCTTCTTTTTTCCTCTAAAATTACCGCTGGGAACTTTTTTTTGTTAAAGGTGATGCGCAAATGTTGGAGCCACTTGCCCGAAAACCGGCCTTCATTTAGGGTGCTAAAGGACCAATTGCTGACCATATCGCAGCGCATCCTGGTCGACTGACTGGCCCAGCTGGTCTGCGAAACGGTGTCGCGCAGTTCATCGTCGTCAACGTCGACCTGCGACCTGTGCAGCAACTACGACCAGGCGTGGATGGGTATTTGTCGCACGCTATGTCGCGAAGCCAGGAAGACCAAACGAACTAGCGACTGTTATGAGAAGTAAGCAGTCAACTTATTACTTGTAGGGTAAACAATGTTTACAATATTCTAAATCGTAATGTTTAAATGAATGTTAAAGGGCTCTTCACAGGCTTTCAATATAATTAGGTTTTTTAACAATTTTCATGGAATGAAGTTATACGTGATAGTTTTTATATCTATTAGAAACTATTTAAAAATAAATTGTACAGGGTGTTCTACAGTCACCTGAAAATATTTATAATACAAATTAATTTACTAATTTTAAGATATTGTCTAATAATTCTAAAAAATATAAATTAAGCAAGCTTGCTAGATAACGCTTTTTCAATTTGAAATTAAAGTTTCCAAAATTAGGACTGAACATGAAAAATAAGGTCAATAATTGTACACTTTTTTTTTTCAAGCGTTTAACAATTTTCATATTATAACACTCAAAGCCTATATAGAAAGACGTCATATTTGTACCCAGTTCAAAACTTAAATTATTATACATCGCCGTACAATAATAAAAATTCATTGAAATTACATACAAATAGTTGTTCCATCTATCGCGTTTATCTTGATATCAGCAACGAAAATGTAAACTTACAGGTCACTGTAGAATTTCATGTACATAACCTATAATATAACATATGTCAAACCTTACAAAATGTCAAAAATTCGATAATTTTAATTTAAGTAAATACAGAATTCTTAAATGCTTAAAAAAAATTGTATATACACCACGGCAGATAAAGTATATTAACTGCCTCGCTCAGATCTGCAGTCTAGGCCAAGGTTCCGGCAGCGAACACTGATCTCGCCTTTAAATAAGCGCTTTCTCCGCCTGTTAGATAATGTACTATTTTTCATGTTAAAAATTATTTTAACTTTAAACTAACCAGATTAATTAATTTTGTAAATTTTGAAAAATATTAGCCATCTTCTTAAAATTAGTATCTATTATTTATAAATATTTTCCGGGGATTGTGGAACACATTGTTTATTATTTTTAAATAATTTTTAAAAAATATAAAAACCCTGACGTATACTTCATGTGCTTATATTTTTAATAAGTCTTTTTTTAAATCAATAAGCCAATAATTATTACACTGGTCTGGTCAACTGCCATTTTGCCACATGGTGGCCAGCAACTTTTTTAGGATAATTTGAGTGTGTTGATACAAAAATTAACCATAATTTTGATCAGAGCCTTTATTTTCGTTATTTTTCGTTATTTTTGTTAAAACCCGTTTTTTTAATATGCAAACACTAAATAAACTAAAAATAAATAAATTTTACACGTTTATTACTCACTTATTATAACGTTTAAACCCCTATTTTTAACGAAGTAAAGTCGTTTTTTTAGTAAAAATTCGACAATTTTTAAAGTTCAAAGTGCTTTTTCGCAGCCAATTTTTGTCTGATTTTAATAAAATTTACAACATTTTATAGCTTCATTTATCTACTTTATTGTGTTAACATTAACGCAGTCAAAAAAAAATGGCACTCAAAACAACAACGCGTATCAAAATTTATATTTACAGTCATTTTTGCATGTAACAGTTCATTTTTGAGATAACATTCAATTGCTCCAAGTTTATTAGTCATCTGATATGTTGAACTGTTTAAGATAGAGGGAGTTCAACTTAGAGCAAGTAATGCAAATTATGTACCTATTTAAAAGTACCTAATTAAAATGAGTTTAAGTTACATATTTTCTTAGGTCTTACGTAAAAAAAACGCTCGCACACATCTACTTTTAATTTTATGGGGCAATTTATTTTTATATTTTCAACCCCACACCAACCCCTAAGCGGGAGTAATGGTTACCCCTACATTTTTTAAAGGGTAAAGGGGTGGAGTAATACCTTGTTTTAAAGGCCTTTTAAATCCCTACATTTTGGTGTATTAGTTTTTAGTCGGTTATTTTCTTTTTAATATATTTATTTTTAAACTTATTTCATCTTAAATATAAGTTTATACACGCGCGATTGTTTGAGTGCAATTTTGCCAATTTTCATTTATTTCCGTTTTAATACAATAAAGTTAATAAATAAAGCTGACAATTTTCTAAATTTCATTGAAATCGGAGAAACATTGCTCGCGTTACAGCACTTTGAATTTGAATTTTTGCCAAAAAAGCAATTTTATTTCGTTAAAATCTTTTATTGTGCGATTTTAACCGGATTTGTTTTAAAGTGTAGATCTGGATAAACTGTATTTACAAATCCGGTTAAAATCACACTGTATATATATATATACTAATTTGAATGTTTGCATATCGAAAAAAGTTTTTTCACAATATGTCTAAAATAAAGGCTAATTAAGCAAAGTGATGGTCATTTTTGGAATCAGCGCATCCAAGTAACCCTAGAGAAGTTGTTGGCTCCACTGTGGCAAACAAAAGTGTAATTATTATAAGTTTAATAACTTTAATATTTTTTAACTAAACAAACAAATTTTTAATATCAAATTCCAAAAAAATATGAATTGCAAAGTTATCTGCAAAAACGTCTTTAAAACAGCAGCCAAGTTTCAATGACAAATAGTTTTTATTACCTTTATTTGACAGAACACATTATTAAATTGTAAATGTAATATTGAAAAATTGTTTAAAAACATAATTATTTTGCACCTACAATAAGAAGTGTTCTTGATGGAAATTTGTATGGCATCGGGTCGCGGGTACTAGAAAATCAATCAAAATCTAATATTTAGATACGCCTAGTATTGATATTTCAGTGGTAGAATAAAATGCTCATTTTAATAAAAATCTACCAAAAATAATATCGGCAGACCAAGTTAAAATAACATGCCCTATTAAAATAAATTAAAATGAGCATTATTTACTTTATATATTTTATCTTCTAGTTCTCATTTCCAATTTAATTCAGTAATGTTAGCAATGAAAATACATAGTCTGATACTGACTGAATCATAATGTAGTTTAAATTGTTTTTGTAACTTTATTTTAAACAACAATACTATGTGTTAGTCATTTGAAAATAATAAATAAAAGGCAGAAACTAGATAGTGAGTATGTGTAGGTATTGGATATGTAAATTAAAAAAATATATTTTTAGATGGTATTGGATTTAGGAATGATTCAAAAGTATTTAACTTTTCTTCTGGACCGAAATTGGTAAAATCGTTTATGTCAGATGGCTAAATGTTAAACGATTTTAAATATTTTGATTTTTATACTTAATCCAAAATTTGTTAATTAATTTTTAAGTTTTAAAACTTTAATCCAGTATTTACAAAAAAATAGAGTACGAAAGATGCGGAATTTCCCGGAACTTAAGATCACTTATTTATTATTTAATTTAAATATACAGTATGTCCACAGATAGAGGGCCCAAGAGGACAAATCGACTAAAATTTTAATTTTTAGACCAAAAGTCATTCTTCATACAAAGTTATGCTTGTTAAGAATGTTGCACGTGTACAATGACGGAGAACGCAAAATTGAGTTCTGCGCATCTTCCCTCATATCCTTTGCAAAAATAAAGAAGGTATCTTTTTAACCTCTTTTATTTTGTGCATCTGTCAAGCGTCAAACCAATGTTGTATATAAGATTATAATTAGGGTTGCCAGATTCTGTCAAAAAAATAAAGTACATTTTGGAAGAATTTACCTTAATTACAAAAATAATACAGTAAAAGAATGCAAATTTTGAATTTGACGTTACCTAATTATTGTTGATTGTCATTTTTGTAATTAAGATAAATTGTTACAAAATGTCCTTTATTTTTTGGACAGAATCTGGCATCCCTAATTATAATGTAATAATGTTTTAATAAAATTTTCTTAGTAGTAAACAGTAAGACAGTGAGTAAATTTATGAACTAATCAGTATAACTGTCATTGGAGCAGAACACGTTGACTGTAATGATGTTAATTTGGTCATCAGTAATGCATTTTCACGTATAAAATGACTGAATTTTGCAATGTTAAATCGGTTGATTGCAAGTTATTTGGTGTAATCATTACACTGTAATGTTTCGTTATAAACTTACTGATGGTATTTTAAATAATGATGTGCAGGTTTGTTATCCCTTGACAAATTAAAACAATTTTTAACACAGCATAAACTATCCCATAGTGATTTTCTCAAATAATAATTTTGAAATTTAAATAAAGCCAAATTTGCTTTAGCTGTTGTCAATTTTCCAACCAATGCGTGCACGTGCAGTCAATCATGTAAGTTGACAGTCTATGCGTGGTTGAATAATAAATATTTGTGCGCATTGTACACTTCCCCTCCTTTATCCCGCTGCCAAGCGACGCGTTTTCTATCTATTCTTATGTGGAGTTGAAGCTTTTGAATATAATCTTCTTAAATGATACAATGCTAATTGTCAATTTGACGTTACTTGATTGTCATTTTTATAATAAAAGTAAATTTACACTAAACCCTACCTATGTACAGTGGCGGCTCGTGGCAGTAAAATTTGTGAGTTCTGCCAGTGGGGTTTAAAAAAATGTGGCGCAGTACCATTTAATTAAATGGTACCTACAGTTAATTAATTAAATCATAATTAAATCATACACCACATTCATTCTTACAAAAGAATACAACAACAAACACAAAAATACACCGAATTAACAGTCTTCTAGTTAAAATAACAAACGTGAACGCGAAGCGAAAAACAAACGACCGGGAATTAGGAACTGTATGTTGGTGCAGCTCCGGTTTGGCTTAAATTACGCTATCTCAACCCAGGACCAAGAGAGGCGCGGAGCAAAATTACGGTATTGAAATGGGAGCCAGAACTCGAATGTGGCCCAGCTTTGTTGTGTTGTAAGCGTTAAGCGTTAGAGACCTTTACCGGTCGTTTGGATGACTGTAGTGGCCAAGTACGGCGAATGTTTATAATAAAAACTTTTTATGCAGCCATGCGTTTGAAATATTCATGCTTATATTCGCACTTAAATATTAAATAATTAAAAAATTAGTCAAGTAATAAGAAAATTTTGGGAGTTCTGCAGCTCTGCAGCCCTTATGCACTAGCCGCCCCTGCCTATGTATGTATGATGTATGTATGTATGTAAGACAAAAAATTTCCCAGTGACAGTCTACTCCTAAACAATACATAAAATAAACATAATCTTTAAGCGACGCTTCTTCATAAGAAATTCCATAGAATTCAGTGCATTTCATATGAAATTGTCACACCCAATATTTCTACTATCTTCATCTTCAGAATCACTAATGAGCTCCTCCTCACATGTACCACATTGTAATTTGTCATCATTTTGTTTTTTTTTGTGGCTGCACCCTTATATTTTTTAATTTTTGGCTTCCTTTTCTTTTTTTTTTGCTTTTTTTGTGATTCTTCAATTTTCCTTTTTTTTAGCATCTTCCTTATTTTTGTAATAGTCTCTCCATAATTGCGAAGATATCGCACTATCATTTAAATTCTTGACACTGCAGTCTGGAATAGAAGCTTCTTGAATTTCTTCCTGTGGTTCCAGATGGATTTCGTCTAAATCTGGTGTTGTTTTTTTGTCGATTGGTATGATGATACCTTGAGAATCCAATACTTTGCCCTCTTGAGAGTTTTCTGTACCTGCCTTATCCAGATCTTCTTTCGGCGCCAATACCTTTCCAGATTTCGGGAAAATCTAGATTCGTGCCCGTTATAAATTCGTCTGGAATTGGACGTTTATTTTAATTTTTAATTTTAATTTTTAATTTGTTATTTTGGCTAGAATGCAGGAATCTCACACTTTCTGCCCTTGTAGTGTAATATACTATTGGTCGAAAAATAAAAATGTTAGTCTATTAAATTTTGTCCTCTTGGGCCCTCTATCCATGGACATACTGTATTACATAAACATCACAAAGTTGTGTAGTGCATAAATGAAACCAAATTATCTCCCAACTAAAATGGATAAGTTATTTATATTTTGAGTTTTGTAAATTACAAATAATGCTATATTTCACTTTTTATATATTACATATAGTAATATACAAAATTCAGTTTTAGTTATTAAGATATGAAGTTTCCTAAATGGAACCTTATGGGCAAACAAAATATCATATTTTTTAATTATAAAATAAATAAAAACTTATTTTTGCTATTTAAAATTATATTTTATATTATTCTCCTCTTTCTATTTAACACGTTAAATGCCACACATTTTTGGTCGTTTTTTTAAATTTAATGCTGGGGGGGGTCTCTTTTAAGAGCCACTGGCGCCCATAACGTTGGCTCTTATAATAGCTAGCGGTAGTAAACATATGTGTTAAGGGCGTCATAATTTAATTTAACTAAATAATTAATAGTATATTATACGACTCGTGGGAGAAACAGGAGATTCCTCGAGCGTGGAAGTGTAGCGAGTACGGTAACTCGCGAGTGGAATCTCCTCTTTTGACCAATAGTCGCACACAATATTTTATTCAACTAGCGCAAGGAATTTGAAAGCCAATTTTATTTGATATTTAATCTGACAACTGTAAAGCATGTTTAACCTCACATTGTTTCAATTTTTACTTAAAGCCAACTTCAGCCTGTGGGCGAAGTAAAATTTCGTCCACCGCTTAAAGTTTAGAAATGATGTTGAATAATTGCCTTCGCCCAAGGGGTGATAGTGGGGAAATTTACAGTCAGAGAATTTATTATTTCGCTCACTCTCAGAAGGGCCACAAAATTACAGATTCCTTGCGGGTGTTGAATAAAAATATATAATAATATGTTTTATTTCAAGCGTTTGACAATTTTTGTATTATAAAACTCATAAGCCTATATGGAAAGACTTCATAATTGTACGCTGTTTAAAAGACAAATACGGCGGAGCTAAAATGAATTAAATGTCATTTAATAATTAAACGCCGTCAAACGGTTATTGCGCTCCCGTTAACAGAGTGACGTCATCCAAGGACGCAATCTTAGGACGGGAAGCAGATATTTTTTCCTTAACCAACGTCCCGATTCCGCCCGCTTGCCGAGTCTCGCTGCTTTACCGAGTCATCTCGCGCTTGCGGACTCAGTGACTAACGTCTAGGTACAGAAAAATTGCGAAGCTTCGAAACCAACCCAAACCCAACCCAACCGACCCCGCTCCAACTTTATATTTTTATGATTCCATTGATTTTTCCAGGATTTTTCGTACTATAGTAAAAATAATACTTTTAAAATTTATTATGTGTTATAATTTATAATCTATAATTATTATAATAATAAGCAATATTCAATGATAATGTAATGGTCACTGTTCTATATTTCAACATATTTTAAATTTTTGCATGCCTAAAATTTCGTTTTTGACCCAATGAAAATAGTCGACTTTTACTGATCGTAGTGGATTTGATTGTGTTTTTCAATTTAAGTTAAAACGTTAATACTGCTGACCAAAAAGGATTTTAGAATTGAGAATTTCTGTATATTTTGTGATATTTGTTTTAGTGAGGAAATAGTTTGGTATATCGCAAAATTTTATGTTTTAAAGATGCTGGCATCTTAATATTTAAAATCCAAATTTTCAGATAAATTTTGCGATGAACTAGAGACATAAAATAGTGTAAAAATGTATTCAAGCCAGTTTGTATGTGATGTAGCTAAAGTTATTTTTTCCAAAATAGTGTATTAATCTTAAATATATAATTTATGAAGTTGCCTCGGAAGTTGCTTTATTTTGACTGTTGCTAGGGTATTGATATTTTGTGAATTGAATGTAATTACATTTTTAGGAAGCAGTTTACCCAAAAAATCTGTTGAAAACTGTTATTGTGATAGGTAATGGTTAAGTAGTTAGAAAGTAATTCGAATTACCTAAAGTAATTTAAATTTAATTATTATCATTGTATGTCATTCCAATAACCAAGGTAAATCTAAAATAATTATACAACTGTATTTAAGAATCTGAATAACCTATAAATTTATACAATTTTTTTACATTTATATTTAGCACTTTTGATGATTACAGATACCTAATAATAGCATATTCAGTTTTCTTATTGTAAGAATTATATATGTAATTAAGAAAATAAAATGTATTAAATTAATAGGCTTTTATTTAATTACAACTTTAAACAAATATCCTTATTTAAAAAATGGCTGTATCTAAACCTCTTACTTCTGGTGGGTTATTAACTTCTCCAATTATTTGTACTTTGTTTATCCTAAGCATAGTTTGCGGTATTCTATAAACTGAAAAATAAAATAAAAATTAGATACATAACTAGTAAAATAAAAAAAATAAAACCAAACATCACTAAGTAATTCATTCATTTTTCAAAATAAGGGGTTGTTCATAAAATACGTCACACGTTTAGGAGAGAGGTTAAGACTTTGTGGCAAAATTTGACATTTATTAATAATAACTGTTTTCGCGTTGCGAATCCCGATTTAGTTTTGACATCCTGGGAATGCGCACTTTAAAATTTGGCGATCGCGGTTATAGAGTTATCTAATAGTTCGGAATAAAACAAACGACGTTCAAAGTGCATTTTCAAATTTGGCTTTCGCGGTGCTAAAGTTATGTAATAGTTCGGAACACGTCCGATAGATCTTAGGACATAAGCATGGATATAAAATCCTACGCATGCGTATTTGAAATTTGTCATTTAAAACAGTTTTTATATTTTTGAATATTTTTTTATTTTATGTTTATATACAGGATTGTTTTATGTTTGTTTAAAAATAATTTTTTTCTTATTTCCACCCATTTTTTCCTAAATTTACCTGCTTGGCAACGCTGAATTTTGAGCGATTAGTGGGGGACCAAATGTTAATCACAATTGTTAGGCGTTCGCGGCACATTCTGAATCAATATTTGCTTTTGTCCATGCTTTTTCTGGATACGGCCAGATAGAAAATTTAAAGGAAATTACCTATAGGTTCACAATAACTTCTACGTTTCCCCTATTAAGACCAATAGCAAATAACTCAAGGAAGGATATATAGGGATATCCCTATAGAGCAACCATAAAACATTTGACAAAATTTTGTTAAAACCTATGGGGTCCTATGGGAGAAAAACTAATTTCTACATTTATGTCTATTTTCCCTATTGAGACCGATAGCAAATAAATCAAGGAAGGATATCCCTATACAGGGTTCATACTATTGAATTCGTATAAAATTCCCTGACTTTTCCAGGTTTTCCAGAACTCTCTCAAGCTTTTTCCATAGACTGTGGAAGGTGTCAAAAAGAAATAAAAAATAGAATTTATACTTTGCAGCTTTAATAACATACCATAAAAACAAAAATAAATACATATAGCAAAATTCATATTATATGTATTTCAAAAACAAAACTTTTTTTAAATCTTTTAAAATTTAACTTAACAAAATATAGAGCATATTTCTCGTAAATAAAAATAAAAAGATAACTATTTTAAACTTTTTCTCTTAATATTTGTAGACCTCTATTGATACTGTCCACTTCATAGTTGGTTCCTTCAGTTAATTTTTGTTTTTTCTTTTCCAAAACCTTGATTTCCGTCATTGCGCGCTTTCTTTCTTCTAAAACTGCTTTCTCTCCCGATTGTTCCTTGGATTGCTGCTCCAAAGCTATATATTTCATATGAGCATTACGGCAAAATAATTTCATAGGTTTATCTATTTCAATATTTTTAGCTCCTCCCACATTTAAAATGGCATCATATGTCTGCCTTCTTGCTATTAGTGACCGTTCTTTCATGTTTTCAACAAGCATTTGCTTGTTAATACTAAAGCCGCTTTCTACTGATGCTTTCCATGTGACAGTATCAATATCATTTTAACTACATAGTATAGGTCCTTATACAGATTACTGTTCAATAAAATTAAATTATAAAATACATCAAGCCTCTCTTTTTTCAATGAATAACTTTCACACTTCTGTTTGAAAGAAGTATCTGCTATTAGTCTCCTATATTGAACCATAGCATTTTCGGCGATTTCAATACTTAAAATATTCTTGTCTGACAAGTGTTGAAGTAAATGCTTCATTTCATTTTCTGAAGAATCTTCATCATTAAAAATAGAATTTGGGTTTAAACAAGATAGCCACTTTGTAAGCGGATACTTCAAACAACAACGTTGAAAAATCTTCTTTATCAAATTTTGTACAAAGGTTTTACATTCTTTAAAGAATTCAAGTTTTTCTCTTTTATTTGCTTTACTTTCCTTTAAATGTTTGTTTGTTAAAAATCTTATGTCTACATTTGCATAGGATAAAAAAATTTCATTGTTATCAAAACTTATTTTCATCAACTCAAAAGTTGATTTCTTTAACACGTCCTTTTTTTAAATTCTACCAAGAAGTCCCCTTATCAAAGATCTAGCTCTCGGTGTAAAAATGGTGCCATAGGATCTGGTGATTGAAACATTCTTAGAAAGGGTTCCAGAGATGAAGCTATGGTCGCAAAAAAGGCAATTTTAGTTTTTGATAGAAGGTCAGCAAAAACAGTTCGTAATGTTTTGACAGTTGTGGTTTCAGGTAACTTCGTGTTTTTATCACACACATACAACTTTATTTGGTCAAATAACTGTAAAGCTCTACTAGCAGCTGCACCACTTTCAACCCATCTGATCCTACAATATTTTAATGGAAAGACAGTCTGATTTGTTAATTTTGTAAAAGCAGCCCTTCATGCTGGTGAGTCTTTAAAAAGGAAATAAAATGAACTAAGAGCATCAATAACCATCCATTTTACACTGTTATGTCCAGTCTGAAAGGCCCCATGTACAACATGTAATCCACAAGAGCCTATTTCTAAGAGAGTTATTTCTTCTTCTTCACATAGTAGCTTGACAAATTTCCAGTTGACATTAGGACCATCCATGGATATTTGTAACAATTTGTTTAAGTGCAGGGGCTTAATCCCTTCTTTAAAATGTTTTAAAATATCTTGTGATGTTGCACCATTCATAAAAACTGACTAAGTATCTAGAAGTAAATGAAACATCAATATTAACACTCTATTTTTAAATTGATAGTAATAACATGTTAATAGTAATTTAGTTTTGTTCAGTAAAAAAATATAACTTTGCAAAGTAAATAAAATTAAGTAAATAAAAATGTTAAGTAAAATTAAAAATTTTGCAATTAAAAAATACAAATGGCTACTAGTAGAGATGTAAAAAAACGGTTTTTTTTCAGATGTGAAAAAAAACATGAAAAAAAACCTAGAAAAAAACGGTTTTTTTTGTTTTTTTTCAAAATAAAATTTTGAGTAAAATGTGTATTAATAAAGTGAAATATAGAATATATTCACAGGTCTGTGAATATATTACATTTTTCATTATTGAAAATTTTGAGTAAAATGTGTATTAATAAAGTGAAATATTCACAGGTCTGTGAATATATTACATTTTTCATTATTGAAAATTTTGACTGAGACTAAAAAATCTGATTTCTTATTATTTGGTAGTTTCCACATTAGAAAACAATGGCAATGTAATACAAATATATATATAGTAATACTAATACAAAAAATTAAAGGATAAAAAAAAATTTTGCGATTCTTCGGTCATATTGGAGCCGTAAAAAAAGCAATTTGAAGCTTGAAGTTTCTAGTTTTGAGATTTTTAGATAAAAAATGTGCAACGCTCAATCCTAACGAATACAGTAATAAAAAAAACGATTTTTTTTGGCTTTCTGGCCCACGGAATGTTCTGACTTAACCACAACACAAATGTTCTACAAGAATTTGCTATTGCTTTTTTGAAAAAAAAAATTCCATACTCTACATGAATTTGAAAAATCATGAAAAAAGTGCTTTTGGCAGCTTTTTGAAAAATCAAGTGCTGAATCAAAAATATTATATGTAGTTACTTTTTTTAGGACTAAATCAAAACAAGCGCGGTCCTTAATGGTCAATTCGGTGGTGGTGGCGCGTGCATAGCGCGAGACTGTATTTACATTTACTAATTGTCACTTAGTGACTAATTTTAGTCCATGAACTGAACTGGAAACTTAAAAATTAGGCAATTGGGACTAATCTTGAAAAAAAACCTAAAATGTGAAAAAAAAACCATTTGAAAAAAAACAATGAAAAAAAACCTGAAAAAAAACAAAAAAAACGGACCGTTTTTTTTCAAGTCGCATCTCTAGCTACTAGCCATTCATGTTCAGTATTTTAATTATTATTTGTAAGGTAAGTGTAAAAAAGTCAAATTCTGCAAATAAAAATTATAAATGTTCAGTATAAATAATAAAAATTTGGTTAAAAAGTATTAAGTGCTCGGTAAAAAATATAAAATGAAGAGTATTGTACCTATTCCAATCCTTTAAGTAAAAATAATAAAAGTTCAGTTAAAATGACTGGAGCGACTAATGCCGTCTCGAACCCGTTTTTTTTATGAGTTTTGCGTACAAAAATTTGAACGAAAATTAAAAATCAAACCAACCCAAGCATCCAACCATGCAGCCTAACCACCCTATTGAAGATGATTATTCCATCAATGAAGATCTTATTGGCAAAAAATATGTTTTGCGCGAATAAATAAAAAAAAACAGCAAACAGCCTAACCACCCTATTAAAGCAAAACCACCTGATTATTTAATAATCATTATTATATCGGTAAATTTCTTATTGACAAAAAACCTAAACTCATTTTACTGAACAAATATTAAATTTACTTAACTTTTATTAATTTTACGGAACATTTATTATTCTTATTTTGCGATTATTATTTTAACATTTATTATTTTACTGATAATTTATTATTTTAACTGAACATTTTTTTACTGAACATATTTACTTAACATTTAAATAAAATACCGAACATTTAATGCGTATTTATGATTAATAATAATTAATATGATAAGTAATAAGAAATGCACCAAGCCAACCGAACGCATTTAAAATTTCATGTGTTTTGATCAATTGATTGGCGCATTTCTTATTACTTATTTTTATTATTTATTATTAGTGAGCACAAATACGCCTTTAATTTATTCCGTTTTGAAATAAAAAACAGTGTTATACCTTGTTTCAACAGAATTCTTTACGCTGTCCCAAAATCTTATCACAATATCCATCTGGCCTCTCTGAGACACTTTGTTCAAAGATTCGTCAAAACAAGCAACGAAAGGTCACATTTAAACAAATCATTTTCCAGTTTTTCACTGAAGTAGGGGCCCAGACCAAATGTTATATAGTATCCCAACTTTGATTAACTTAGTTTAATTTTTTGAGCTGTTGGACTATCACTAAACA